GTTGATAGGACCAAGAAGCAATGAAATGGCCATAGCAATGACTAAATTCAGTGGCCAGGGCTTGGTTTATAATACTATTCTTAGAGAAAAGGAACCAGGCTTCCTGGAGTAATGGTTGATTCTAGGACTGGAGAAGAAAATACATATAAGCCTGGAACTTCTTTCAGTGCTAGAAAGTAAGGAAGTGCTAAAATAAATCCACCACAGTAAGAGTATGTCAGGAGTCCACTGAAATAATTTCCAGTGTTTCAAACTGAACAATGTCAACAGCAGAATAAAGTAGTATTATACGATAACTCAAAGTATAAATATACATGAACCCAAATTCATATACATAAATGACTGAATTAATTAATAAGCAGGGGAAGAAAAACATATCTCAGAGGTGGAGTATAATTCCTTGCACCCTGTGACAATAAATGTATGGTGGCTTCCTTCCAAAAATTATAGTATGGGGGAAAATGTATTTTTATAGTGGAGAACCATAACAAACACTACCTCAGTCAGGTGATTATGGTTAATATCAGCAGTGCTATAAACACAGGATATGCTAGAAAAATATGGTGAATGTTTAAGTTTTAAAATTTTACAGTAAGACATTACCATTAATCCCCCTCAAAAAACTCCCTCTTATTTTGAACACACTTATCCCATCATTCTTGCCACTTTATGAAACAGTTCTGAAGTTCTCTGTCATAAATGTCTTTAGTTGTGCTGTCTTGACTGCCTTGATATCCTGAATCAATTCAAAATGTTTCGGTTTGGTGCTTATTTTGTGGAACAGCCAAAAGTCACGTGGTGCCAGACCTGGTAAATGAGAACATGCCCTAGCATTTTTAGGAGACTACTTTTCTTTTGGATGAGATCCAGTAGCAGCAATCACTACTTTTATTACACCTTGTTAAGACACACAAGAGGACTTCCAGAACTGTTTCAGAAAGGGCCAGGATGCGAGAAATGTGTTTGAAGTGATGGAGAGTATTTCAAGGGAGATGGGTGGCAATGTGTCTTTCACTAAAATAATTTATTTTTTTATTTAGATATACATTATATATTTCCACCTTATCTCGTATGTGCCCTTGATAGGTAATGAGAATGACAGTTTACCTTAGCATTTTCTCCCCAAAACACACAATTCTAGTTCAATAATGGGGAAAATATTAGAAAAATCCCAGGAGAAGTGCATTCAAAATACTTAAACAGTACTCCTTAATTCTGTTGAGATCAAGAACAAGAAAAATTAGCCAGAGCCAAACATGGTGGCACACGTCTGTAATCCCAGCACTCGGGAGGCTGAGGAAGGAAGTTGCAAGCTCAAGACCAGCCTGAGCTACAAAGTGAGCTCAAGACCAGCCTGAACTGTATAGCTAGACCGTATCTCAAATAAAAGAAGAAAAGAAAAGAAAAAAATCAGCCAGGTATCATGCTGCATGCCCGTAGTCCCCAGAAGCCTGATAGACTGAGACAGGAGGATCATGTATTCAAGCCTAGCTCAGAGAATTTAGGGAAACCCTGTCTCAAAATTAAAAAGAAAAACCTTTTAAGGGTTGGGAATGTAGCTCAATGTGAAGGCCGTGGGTTCACCCTCCAAAGCAAAAGTAAAATAAAATAATTTAAAATAAAAAGCAATCTAAGAAAATGTCACAGCCAAGAGAAGCCAAGACATGTGATCATGTGGCACTGCCCACGAGACCCTGGACTATGAACTTGACATTAGGTATAATCCAAGGAAATCCAAATAAAGTATGAATTTTAATTATTAATAAAGTATTAACACAGCTCATTGATTATATCAAATGTCTTATGCTAAGAAGCTAACAATATAGGAAACAGCCTGGGTCCTTGGGAATGCTCTGTATTGTCTTCCTAAGTCTACTGGTAAGTCTAAACAGTTCTAACAAAAACATTTATTTAGAAAAATGGCACTTAAAACAGAAGAGAGGGACTTTTCAATAGAGACACATTGATCAATGTGATTTATGAACCATAGGTAGGCAATTATAAAAGGTATCCTGGGGACACATGGAGAACTCTGAATACGAAGTAATATGCAATGGTGCATCGATTTTAATTGGAGAATACTGTATGGCCAAATGGGAGACTGTCTCCTTCACTCTTACAGAAGAGGCATGCTGACATGTCTAAGGATGCCATGAAGCATTTCGATACATTCTGTAATTTATCTCAAAGTCTAAAGAGAGGAAAAAGCATATTTGGAGAAAGAAAAGGCAACTAGAAAAATGTAAAGAATGGTGACTCTGAAAGATGAATCTAAATGAAACATTTATCCATACTATTCTTTTTTTTTTTTCTTTTTGGTACCAGGGATTGAACTCACAACCTCACGTTTGCCAGGCAGGGCTTACACCACTGAGCTAAAGCCCCAACATATCATGCTATTTGCTCACATTTCTGTAGGTTTGAAGATTTTCAAAATAAAATTTCAGGAAAAATATCAATCTGATTTTAGAGTCGAACAAAATGATCATGCAAACTGATCTGGAAATAATGGAGTAGCAATACCAAATAAGGAAGTATGTAACATCTAAAAATAATTCATAGCCAGGGGTTTATATCAGCGACACAAGCACCTGCCTGGCAAGTGTGAGGTCATGAGGTGGATTCCTGGTACCAAAAAAATTAAACATAATTAAGAGTAACATATTTGGCATCCGACTGCAAAGTCTGAAAACAGATATAAATATGTCTGGAAATTCAATATAGAAGTGGAAATGGCTTTTTCAATCAATGTGGAAAATCAACAAATGGGATTGCAATAACCAGAGACTTCCTTAGGGGAAAAAAACCACTGAATCCCATCCTTAATTCCCACCATATATATTTCAAATAAAGATTTAAAGGTTAAAAAATAACCGTGGAAATATTGGGAAAATATGCTTAATTTATTCTGAAATGTAATGGCCTATTCTCAGCAAGGTAAAAATCTTAGAAGCCCTCAAGACTAATAAATTTAACTACATAAATATAGGAAACTGAGGAAAATATTATAAAATGACAGTAGACTGATTTTCTTAGCTTTCAAAAAGGTCACATTAAAAATCATTTACTATAAAACAGAACATGATCATACAGTTCACAGAAAATATCAGTAAACAATTAACATAAAAAGTTCCATTTCCATTAAAAAGCATTAGACTTTCATTAAAATGAAAGAAACCATTTATTCATTTTCAAGTGATCAAACTTAAAAATTTAGCAACCAGCATTGGCAAGAGTCTGGTAAATAATCACATTAGATGTGGGAGTACACAGGGCAAAATTTTCTGGGGGGCAAATTCTGTGGCAGCTACACAACTGAAGGTGAAAAATAACTTTTGATCCAGCAATTCACTGTAGGAAATAATATTATAGAAATAATCTCATTAAATATACAAGTATGTTCATTGCAATATGACTTATAAGAATAAAATATTGGGAACAACCAAAAAAACTCATCAATATTTAAACATTTATAACAAACTGGAATACCATAGTCATTAAAAAGAATATTTCTTAGGAAGAAAATGGTCAGATGGGGAGGGGAACAAGGCAGAGGGGAGGGAGAAAGGAGTGAAGGGAATAGTAAAAACAATGAAAAAAGAAGGAAAACACAGGGAAACAAAGCTTTTTTGTAAGTGGGGAGGAGTTGGAGGGAGGGTAGGGGAATGGGGAAAAACAAGTTATGTACAGGTACAAATTCTCTCTGATGAATGTGATCATGTATATCTAAAATGTACCAATAAAATCTGATTTAAAAAATTTCTGAATATAATGATACAGAATGATCATATAAAACACAAGTAGCAAAAAAAAAGAGCAAGGTACACAAGAGTATATATGGTCTGTTTCCACTATTGTAAGAAATTTTTAAAGTGCATTATTTGCTGCCAGATTTAGTGGCACATGCCTGTACTACCAGCAATCTGGGAGGCTGAGACAGGAGAACACAAGTTTGAGTCTAGCCTAGACAACTTAGAGACCCTGTCTCAAAATTTTAAAATAAAGGGGGATGTAGCTCAGTGCCAAGGCCCTTGGTTCAATCCCTAGTAACAAAAAATGCATACATTATTTTCCGACAAACAAAAATACAAAACACTTGTAGGTGGTTACCTTTGGAAGTTAAGACTTTGGGTAGGAGGCATGGGGGCAAAAGTTTTAATTTTACATTTTTCTGTACAATATGATCCTTTTGTCACATGCATATATCTACTTTCCCCTTGTTTTTATAGAACACTTGATTAGGTTATTTTGAGATATTAGGTAAATTTGAATACTGACAGTGTTGTCAAAATACTGTAGGTAAGTGCCTAAGTGCCCGGCTTTACAAGCTAGAATTTCGCTTTGAATTTTCATTAAGCTTTAGATATGTCCTCAATGCCTTAACAGGCATTTTATTAACAGGCGCTTTGAGTCTAATAGGCGCTGCTGCTCCAGGACCCACACTTGGCTGGGTGTGATGGTACACTCCTAAAAATCCCAGCACTCTGGGTGGCCAAGGCAAGAAGGCTGAAAGTTCAAGATCTGTCCTCAAACTTTAAAAAAAAATTTAAAAGTGCTGGGGATGTAGCTCATTGCAAGAGACAAACACCAGGCATGCTGGCACACACACCTATAATCTCAACACTCGGGAAGCTGAGGCAGGAGGATTTTGGTGAGTTTGAGGCCATCCTGTGCTACACTGTGAGAGTCTGTCTCCAAAAAATCAAAAAGACCTAGGTTCAATTTCCAGTCCAGAAAAATAAAGACCAACTCTCATGCCTCGAAGGGCATTTGATGATTTATAAACATAAATATGAAATTAATATTCTATTTGGGCCACAAAAACATAAAATTACAACAAGACTTTACATGTACAGTTAAAGTATCCATTGAATTTAGGAAAACACCAACACACTGGAAAAAATACAGTCATAAAATTAGCTCTTTCATTTTTCTGGGGACAGAGATGCAGAAGAAATGAGATAAAAAGAAAAAAGAAACAAAGAAAACACTACCAAAAACAGGGTGAGACAATCATTTATTTATTAGACAGGGCAAGATCACTTAAAGAGAGGAAACATATCCAAAGAAATGCGTGTAGCTTGGTGTTACAGGCATCGATGTTCACAACAAACAACACTACTCAATACATCATGGAAACAGGCCACATACAACCAAGAAGATGCTGTCATGCCACTCAAAAATAAGTCGCAACGCTTAGGAAACAATTAACTAGTAGGGAGTTACAGAGCGTGTCTCCAATTCACTGGTCTGCATTTTCTGCTGCTGGGCCACTGGCCCATAGTATTTGGCTGGTTCCCTGATTTTTAAGGAGTCTTTCTACACTCTGGAGAATTTTTATTGGTGCACACTTTTCATACTTCTGAATTGTTACTGAAATCAGACTCAATGAGTTCATTATCCCTATATTTTTTAAATTACCCCAGACAGTAATGGACTGTTTCATAGTACTGTAAGTAAAACTTCATACTTAACACATTTAGCACTTCTATGACCCAGTCAAATCACCTTCAGTTATATGGTACATACTTAAAACACACAACGGTCACTGGTGTAAATTTAAGAAATCTGGGGCGTGCACCTGGCCTGAGGTATATAAGCTCCTAGCAAAGTTACACAAACCTGACAACTGCGTCAATGTTTTGCCAAATTATTTGGCATCATTGTTAGCAGTATTTTCCTGACTGGGCAGAAACAGAGAGATTTCAACACCTGTTCTAGAAATTATCCAAAATATTCTAAGCAGTAGTCTATCATGAGTGCTTGGCTATGAGGAAAAACTACTCAGCATAAGATTAACTGAGAAATCTATTAGGTATCTGGCCTTCCCCCCTTAAATCTGCTGATTTACCAACCACTTCCTTTCACTGTAATAAGTTCTCAAGATGAGAGCTTTTCACAGCACACAGAAAACTGTACTCGGGTAGTCAGTCACAAAAGACTAGATATGAATTCACTTACATTAAATGATCAGAATAGGCATAGCTACAGAGAGAGAAGTGCTCAGCCAGGGCTGGGGTGGGTAGTGGAAGAAAAGAAGCGGCGACTGCTACAGGATTCAGAGATCCTTTTGGGGTAATATAATACCCTAAATCTGACTGCAGTCATGGTTGCACAACTTTGTGGATATATTAAAAAATCACTTAACTGTACTCATTAAATAGGTGTATTATAAGCCATGTGAATTATATCTCAGTAACAGTGCTACAAAAACACATTAGGAAAGGAAGACAGCCCCAAAAGAGAAGAAAACAAGAGGCTCTTCCAAAGTCAAGTCGTACCTGAGGAAACAATAGATGAGCCTGATATGAGGCTGGTTTTCACACAGCATTTTGACTTCATTATTACCACTCTAATCCCTGATTTCACATTTTTAACAACTTTCTAAATTATTTTCAGTTACCAACAGCATCTAACTTTGTTCTCATTAGAGAGCAGAGTCAGTGTTCCACAGACTGGGCTGGTAAACGAAAACAATAAAAATCCATACAAAATAATCTTGTCTGTTGGGGCTGTGCATTATCAGGCAGGACAGAAGAGCTGAGACTCATTCCCAATGAAAACAATCCATCAAGTATAAGGGCAGCGTATGGCTCTTGCCCAAAGCATATTTCCTTTCAAATCTGCATACAGTTATTCCCTTTACACCTATACAGTTCAATAAAGGTCATGTTTTTATACCTGCACAATTCAACAAGAGCAATGTTTTCTTTTCTTTTTTTCTGATACCAGGAATTGAACTCAGGACCTTGTACTTGCCAGGCAGATGTGGTGCTACTGAGCTATATCCCTGGATCAACAGCAATGGTTTCTAAAAAAAAAAATAATGTTGCGCTCCCTGCAGGGTATTTTTTTCCTCAAAGAGTTAGCCAAACTTCTCTAAGAGTAAAATTACTGTTTCTGAATAAGTTCAACTTTGAATCTTCATCTTCACTTTCAGCACCGTACTGGGAAGATGGAAAATGGTGAGGCTGTTCAGTCAGGAGCTACACAAAAATTCTTTAAATGACCTTAATTCTCTAAACAAATTGAATATATTAGTTCCAAATATTTAGAACATATTTGGCCCCATTCTTTTACATCTGCCTTTACATTAATGAGAAGTTTCTTTTATTTTTCACTAAGTTACTAGCTTAGTATTTAAATAGACTAACATAGACTTTGAATAAGTTAAAACTGGCTTAATCGCTTTTTCTCACTGACTACTATTCTTCTAGATAGGCAGAATAATAAAATTGTAAATGACTTTTTAGTCATTTTCCAATATTCTTAACATTATGTAATCAGGGAAATTCTTTATCACTAACTGAAGAGAACACAAGGAGCTTTACAGCAAGCTAAGCTTGTTAAATATACTTGCTATGACAGAATTTCTGACACAAAAACTGCTCACTGCACATGACCTCAAAGAAGTGCTCAAACAAGACAGCTGATGTTAGAAAGTTGGGAGTGGGGGTGAGAAGTCATGGATAAATTAAAAACTGGCAAATACCTGTGAAAGCAGAACCACTTGTCAGGGAACAGAAGAAAAAGTGAGAAGTCACCATTTCAGAATTTGATAAGAACTGAAGACCACTTTACTGTCATCCAGGCTGCCAATGCAAGTCACATGGTATCTTCAAAAAAGAGTCCTAAAACCTGTAGTGCAAAAGAAATCTAAGAAAATAAATATTCGCAAAAACCATCACTTTTCATGTGTTCAAAACAGTGACTCTTATAAAAGACACAAATTTGTTTCGAATGAAAAAACTTTCCTTTATGAAAGATCAAAGACGTTTCACAGATAATGTATGCTCCATTAACAATTCTATTAACAGTATACAAACAGAGGCATAGATTTTTTAAATTAAGTTTGAAAGGTCAATATAAATACTGACTGGGGGGACTATTTAACACCCCAAACTCCAACATTCAGCTCTGTGTCCTGTCCTGCCCTGATACTACAATTTGTAAAAATCTTAACGGCGCAGTGAATCGAGCTTTCGTAACTTCAGTGATGTGTTAGAAGACAATGCATCTTGGTTTGAAGAATTTGTTGTATCTGAAGGCCGGAACAGTACACGACCACGATGATTAAATACATAAAAGGACGGATGATTCCTTAAGGTGTCAAATGTCCTTAAAAGGAAAAAAAAAGCATTGATTTTAGATAAATCTTAACAGAGCCTATGTGGAAATATGCAGGCTTCTAATGAATTATGAATTTGCTATATTATATTTTTAAATGAGTCGAAAGTTCATAAAATGAGACTATAAATGAGAATCATATTGTATCTCTTTTTTTACTATACAAGAAAAATTCTGAACCTGGAAAGCGAGTCTAAACTTCTCAAATGTTTGTTATGCAGCACAATGCTAACAAACAGTAAGCTAATGCCACAGTCTTTTAAAACCAGTACACAGACTGTACTTTGATGATTCCCATTAGAATCTCACTATTCAAGTCACATAACTACTTCACAGATCTGTTTTCTAAAAATCTTTCAAGTACAATAAAAAATTCCTTTTGGCTCTCTGTACATCCTGTTGGTCCAAATGTCACATTTTGCTACAGCCTACCTAATGCTGCTCTATTTTACTCCTTTCCTTCCTGGCACCTTGCCTGTGATTCCTGGTGGACTATTTGTAAGAACAATAGTGATAGCAGGCTAGCCTTTCTTCTTTCCCAGTGAGAGTGATACATTCTGAAATAAGTTAACAAATACTTGGTAGATGGCTTTAGTGTTCCACTTTTATATATTACTTTCCCAGATAGAATGGGAGAACTCCTTTTATAAAATTTCAAACCCCAAAATCAGCTCCCCTAAACATGCAAGCACACTGTCATACAAAGCAAAAGGTGCAATGGGTGATTAAAGTAAGTGAAGGTCGGGATGAGCTTTCTCTATCACACAAATGTTTACTGGTTCTGACCACGCCTAAGAAAATACACAGGACTTGACAAAATTTATACCAAAAATCAGTTTCACGTAAGAGAGAAAACAGAAACTGCCTTATTCTTCCATAGACGAAGTTGGTATGAAAGGATGAAAGAGAAAGGGAAGAAAAAGAGGGAGGATGGAGGGAAAGTGGAAGGAGGGAGCGAGCTTGGTCACAATTTCGGAGGAATTAGCCTCATCTATTTTCATCTATCCAACCAAACAATTATTTTAAGCAACTAGTAAATACCACAAACTACTACCTTATTCTATTATCAATAATCAGACATTCAATTTGTATTTTTCCTATCATATCAAACACTGCCTCAATATTTTACCTCATTACTCATATAAACTGAATGATCAAAATGTAAAAACAAACCAAATTTATGTACCAGAATATATATACTGTAGATTACAGAAATAAAACAAATCCCTATGAAATTAAATGCCTCTGAAAAAGGAAAGACTTACTTATTCTTCAGTTCTGAAGTGGCATCCATGTCTTTAAACTCCCCTGCAATATGGACTATACCATAACAGGTAACTGCAAAGGCCAGAAGTGTCTGAAGAACTATCTGTGAGGGTACACACTGAGATTACTAAATAGCACACAGATATCATATAAGACATTCACAATCGCACCCCTTCGATGTGGCTTCTAAGGGGCAGTCCGCTCAGTGCTGCTCTTCAATGGGTCAATTCTCACTTGAAATGATTTGTACTCAGACACAGTAATATCTTCTGTAAATTCTGTGACTTGGCTACAAAAATACTTCCACTGCTTCAAAAAATGAATATAACAACATATTCAAATAAATAGAATCACTGAATGGTACTGAACCACTTAATTATCAAATATTACTTGCTTCCAACAGCAACTAAGAAATTTTAAATTATTGTTCAATATCATGGAATACAAGATGCACAAAGGTATTATATAAAGAGAAGTAACAAAAAGATACCACCTATTTAGGAAATAGACTGTTCTCAGTACTTTTCAAGTCCCAATATGTCTCTCTCTGATTATTTGCTTTACTTTCCCTCTCAAAGTTAACTAATTTTCTTGATGGGCATGGTAACGCACACCTGTAATCTCAGCACTCTGGGAAGCTAAGGCAGGAACATTGCACATTTGAGCCCAATCTGGGCAACTTAGCAAGATCCTATCTCCAAATACAAACTGGGGAAGTAGTTCAGTGTGGGGTCCTGGGTTCAATCCCCAGTATTGGAAAAAAACATCAATTCTGATTGATATTAATCAGTTCCTTTCTTTCCTGATAATTTTTACAAGAAAGAATGTATCTCTGAAACAAACTTTATTTTTGCTTATTTTGAACTTCATCTAAATGGACTCGAGTATACTTTTAGTGTCTAGCTGTTCTCCTTCCACATTATATTTTTTTAAGATTAATGCCTGCGGTAGTATGCAGTTGGAGTCCATTCATTTTTGTAGCATTTCATACAGTTTATCAATTCCAGTGTTGTGACAGGCACTCAGATTATTTTCTATTATTTTTACAATGGCTACATGAACATTCTTGCAAGTCTCTTGATGCCCAGGCACAGAAACACAGGATTCAGTATGCATGTTCACTGGTTAATACTCAACTACTTTTCAAAGAGGTTGTACAAACAATGTCAAATGTTTGTAATTAACCAACAGAGAATTATAAACATATTTCCTTGATTGTGATTTTCTGAATTTTTAAAGTTTTCCAGTTTTAATCAGAAGAAAAGTATTTCACATAAACATAAACAAGGGTGTGTACCCACAATAAGGCAAAGGTGACAGACTGAGATTATATCTCATATCCTCAATGGTATAAAACTAAAGTAAAAATTAGCCACAAGCTATTATTCTAAATTAAAACCTAATATTAATGTTAAAACCTAATATTATAGTATCGGTTTGCACTCCAACCTTCTGTGTACCAAGGAGACTTTTTTCCACGTAAAGTAACGTTAACAAGAATGTGGTAAATCTATGAGTTGTTCAAGATAAATTATGTAATAAAAAACTATCTGTAGAACTATACATATATTCACATGCATATAACTTTTTAAAGAAAAATTAAATGTTTTGATTAGGTAAAGCTACATATACATAAAGGATAATGTTTATGAATTAGGGATATACTTTAAACTATTAGGATCAGAAATGAAATTACCAAGGAATGGGATCAGTTTTTTGTTGCTTTAATTTTGTGTGGTAAGTTTTAATTTTTACATTTATCGTTTGAATCTATTACAAAGAATTTTGTAGTCGGGTGTGGTGACACAAATCTATAATCCTAGTACCTGGGAGGCTGAGGCAGGATCATGGCAATTTTGAGACCAGCCTAGGCTACAAAGTGAGCTCAAGGCCAGCCTGAACTGCATAAGCAAGACTCTGTCTCAACAACAAAAAAACCAAACAAACAAAAAACCCCAAAGCTTCCTACTTTTGTAAATACCAATCCAATAAAGATAAAAATTGTAAGTGAAGTTGGAATATAATTTTACTTTAATAAAAATTTGTTTCTCTTTAGTTTTCTCACCTCTGTGTGTCCAAATTAATATATTAGCTTAGCTTCTTTTTAAATTTTAGGAACTCTTCTAAAAAAATAAAGCCAAATAATCAACTTTTTTTTTTAGCTCAGTGGTACAATGCCTGCTTGGCAAGTGCAAGGTTGTGAGTTCGATCCCTGGTACCAAAAAAAAGGGCCATTTCATATTGTGGACCAAGCAATTTCTAAAAAGACTATTTTAATTACCGTTCTAGAAACCAAACAGAGAAATCTTTTAAGGTTTCCAAATCTTTGGATTTTACAGAATGATGAAAAGTAGGGACAGGTATTATTCTATGTTTGCAAAATGTTAAGAGAATAAAAACCAATAAAAACTCATCAGAAGCAAAGTGGCTAATTTTAAAAATACATTTTAATGGAATATAAAAGATCAACTTACATCTATTGGCAGCGATTCATCTTCTTTTTCTGTTAATCGCATATAAGAACGATCTATAAACCAGAAGCATACCATTAAGGAAACTGCAGCCTATTTTTCTTTCTTAAAATGCAAGCAAATCAATATAGCAAAGTGGCTGAGTTAGATGCTACCCAAAGTACTGCTAATCCCAGATTCCTCAAAACCTCTATCTTCCACAGTGCTAGTCTTAACAAACTACAAGTATTTTATTCTCATCATGACCTGCTTTGCCACCTTATAAAGTGAGGGAAGAGTGATAAACTGGTAGTTACAAGGCAGCAATAACTAAGCAGTTTTTCTCTCATTACCTCAATAAAACTAGAAACTAAAACTTTTCCCAAGTGGTCAAAGAAATCAAAATTATTTAAAAATAAGTCCACAGTAACCCCTAATTCTGAACAGTGCAGCCGCCACAAAGTGAAATGAAGGCAGTACCACACAGAAATGCTTCTCTTGAAAACATACTGTGGTAAGAATAAGAATTCCAAGACATCAATTTCTTCTCTACTATTACTTAATTATAATTCTGTTGCAGCCTTACCCTGAGAAGGCATGAAGGGATAAAGGAAAAGATCAGGATTTAAAAGCTGGTAAAACCTGGACCATAGGATCAGCTCTTCAACTTATTGCAATTCATTATAACACACTCAAGATATCATCAGTAATTGTAATATATACTTCAATTTTGGTATTAAAATGCAGGAGATAGGAATGTGCCCTAGCACCCAACAAATGCAGTATTTGGGGTGGTGGCAATGGAAATCGAACTCAGGACCTTGTGTTTGCCAGGCAGGCACTGTGCCACTAAGCTATATCCCTGGTCTCAAATGCAGTACTTTTTCATTGCCTGAATTTTCCTAGCAGCAAAATGGAGATAATGTGAGGACTAAATGAGGTTCAGAGTTGGAGATGTATTTGCTTGGCATACACAAGGCCCTGGGGGTTTGATCCTCAGTGCAGAAAACCAACAAACTCACATGGTTCAGTGCAGGATTAGTGTACTGTCAAAAGAAAGGTCTTTATGGCAAAGATGATGCCAAAATGCCACAGTGAATCTGCTACCACAGTGGCATGACACAAGTCTCCAAGATAAGTGTTACTCCGTTGCCAATATGAGAATTACAAAGAGTCCTTGTAGTGAAAAATTCACAAGGCATGCTCATCACTTGGAACATAAAATTCTAAAATCTTAAGTATAGATAAACCTAGGAAATCATTTATATAATGTACTTTAGATGTAAAATAATAAATTCCTCTGAGTGCATGTATATTGACTCATAAGAGACTGCATTTAGAGACATATTCTTAAATTTTAATTTACAGAGATTATAAGGAAAGGTAGAAAATAAAAATCAAGCCAATACCAAAAATAAGATGTGGACTAACCTCCTACTGTCCATTCCATCTCCAGCCACCTTTCTTGTTTTCATGAAGCCTAACCTGACTAATGCTACCTTTAGGCAGGCATCTCTTCATCTGTAACATGAAGCGGTTGGAGTTTGGTGATCTCTAAGGGCCTGCTAGCTCTATAGTCATGTAATTTTATTACTGAAGCTTATTGCAGAAAATAACACAGTTCTCCAGTGTATCTTGTCTCTTCCAGGACGGGGTATCTCAAATTAATGTGTGTAAAATCACCTGGGGATCTTTTGAATCGCAAATACTGATTCAGTAGGTCAGAGGTGGGGCCTGAGTACCTACCTAACAAGCTCCCAAATTACATCCATGATGCTGAGCTGTGGACACACATTGAGCAGCAAGGCTCTAGGGTACTTTCCTAAACACTAACTTCCTTCCCCAAAAAATTACTACACATTTATATACCGAGTTTGTTTTTTTTTTTTTTTTTTTTTTTTTTTGCTCAGGCTGACCTTGGACTTGCAGAGATCCTCCAGCCTCAGCCTCCCAGGGCTCAGATGACAGGCGTGCACCACCACACCAGGCACTTACATACCTTTAATACGTGGCTATCACTTTACTGTGATTATTTCTAATCCATTTGTTTTCTTACTGGCCTATGAACTCCCTTAGTGAATCACTGTACTCGTAGCACCTACCCACAGTGCAACTTCAGTCAATTACAGGAGACTGGACTTTTATAATACAGTGTAGTACATATCTTTTGCCCAAGGTCACATGGATTCTACGCTTAAGTAAGTTCTTAAAAAGCACGCATTCAGATTCGCTGTCTAGTGCTCTTTTCTCATACACCATCACTGTGCCTCCTTGAGGCAATGGGTCCCTTGACACCTCAGTCACTGCCTGGATAGCCCAGGAGTACCCAAAATACTGTCCACCTAGTTGTCATGAGGCCGTGAGCGAAGTCCTCGATTTCACGCTTTGCCTGACCTGCTCTATGCTGGATTTAATATCCCTTATCCTGGATTCCTGGACAGACTGCGCTTTGAACACTTTCCCAGACACCCCTTCCTACCTTCTAGCAATCTCAAGTCCTCCACACCCCTCAAACTGCAAACCCTGAACCGCTATTCGGAGCCACTCGAAGCTGCGAGGTCTCAAGCGACCATTCCTCTAGACCCTCAGTCCGACAGTGCCTAGCGCTGTGCCCACACACAGCCCCAGGTCCCACAGAGAGGTCCCCGTCCCTCGGGCACTTACGCTGCGCAGCGGAAAAGGCGGCGTGTGCTAGGGCGAAGAGGCCGATGCCTACTAGCCCCTTCCATAGCGATGGCGCCATGATTCGGAAGGAGTAAAAGGCCAACAAAAGAGGCGAACAGTGGCGGAATCGTTCCTTCTTCCAACGGTTGGTGTCCGCGCGGCGCACAATGATGACGTCACTCGACCCCGGCGCAAAGCACCTTAGCGTTGCAAAACCCAGAGAGCACAGAGAAAGCGGAAACAGGAATGCCGGGAAGAAGGGGAAAGCTATACCGAGAAAGGTCCGCGAAGGCCTCTGAGGCTGCTCTGCACAACCTCTCTGTGAAAGGCGGAACTGTGCCTAGTGACTAAAAGGGAGCGGAAGCAGGACCAATGAGGAAATGAAGAAGGAGGGTGTCAGCCAATGAGCACAGGCCTCGGTGAAGGGGTGGAGCTTCGGAGTGGCCGGCCGAGTCTGGGTTGGGGGATAGCAGGAGGTGGTGGTAAAATGCGCTGGTTACTCGCTTTCCACCTCTGACGGTCTTTTTTTATTGGTTACTTGGTTGTGTTTCGTTTTCCTTCGTGTTCTGCCAGTTGTTTTCTTTAGGTCTTTCCTGTGCTTCTGCTCTCTGCGTTTCGGCACTGCGAAAGGAAGGCAAGGGTGTCAACCAGTAGAGGCTGGTGGAGTCTCTAGGACGACAGCCCGGGCTTTGACATTCTTTGGGCACATGGGGGCCAATCAGTAAATGTCAGTTCCTTTCCCCTTACCGTCGAAAAGCCTCGGAGCAAGATGGGCGCGAAAACGAAGTATACGCGGCAGGATAGTTTAATTTTGAAGATTATTCGGGGCAGTTTAATCTTGAAGAGAAGCAGTGAACATTAAGAGAAAAAAAAGAAACAAAACAAAACAAATGCTGACATCGTTGTCCCAGCGCGCTCCCTCCAGGATAGAAATGTACTTCTTGATCTTTATCGCCAAAAATGTAGACATTCAATAGTGGGATACTCCATTTGACCTCTTTCACTCTGCTCTCAAAGTCGGCGAGTTCACCTATTAACTTACGGATATTACATGATTCCAGATCCACACCTCATCTGTATCTGCATTATCTCTGCTCAGCTCCTGATCTGTATTTCTGATCAGTCCTCAGATGTATTCCCGTGTGTGTGTGTGTGTGTGTGTGTGTGTGTGTGTGTATGCGCGCGCGTGCGCGCGTGTATGTGGTCCTGTGGCACATATTTTCTTTTAAAGGGCAGAATATATTTATTGGGGAAAGAAAGCTTCTGTCTGAGAGAGAGACAGAAGGGCCTCCGAGCGCGTTGCCTAAGACCCTTGCTTTTTAAAGGGGTTTTTATAGAGCAAAACAAGGAGGAGAGGTGAGTCCAAGGTAGGGAAAAATGGGAAATCACAAAGTGGACATGAAGTGGGATAGCACAGAAATTTATATTTTTTTTTTTTTAAATTCTGGCAACAACTTTTCCAGTACACCCCTGGTTCAGTGGCTCAGCGCTGTAAACTGCACATCAAAAGGTAACTGTTGGGGCTGGGGATTTAGCTCAGCAGCATAAGCGCCTGTCTTGCAAGCAGGAAGTTTAGAGTTCCGATCCCTGGTACCGATTAAAAAAAAAAAAGTAACTGTAAAGTGTGATTACCATTCACCCTATGGGAATTATACGTTTTTAGTTGCATTAGTTTGCTCACCTTTTCTTGCACAAAAATGCCTATCTTTACTACTCCTTTGAAATTTGTAACATTTATGATCCCCTTAACTTGCTCTATTTTTGTATCACCTTCTAAATTGCTATATAATTTATTATGTTTATTGTGTTATTTTTTACTGTTTATCTTCTCCTGCTGAAATGTAAGTTTCAAGAGGACCAATTTCTCTGTCCCTAGAATGTTATCACTTTGCAGGCATTCAAAATGTTTGCTGAATGAAGAATGAACAAACTATGGAAAAGAAGTGGGAGGGATGTATCTGTGAGAGGATCTCTCCAGGGACTTCCTCTATTATTTTGAGTTGAGTTAAAAAAAAAAAGTCCCAGTAGACTTCTGATGTATTGTTCCCGAGTGTCTTTAGACTTGAAAAAAAATACTAGAAAAAAGGAAGACATCCAAGATTCAGCATACTGTATCCACTTTACCTAAATAATTTTTGCCCTGGATTCCAAACTTAAGATATGATCATTATTTTTTCTCTGATCCCTTTCCAATTTCTTCAGTCATAAACCAAATTTTTACATAATACTTAATTGATGCCATGTGCTATAATGTATTCCTTAGAAATGTGGTCTTATTTAAAAGCCTCATAATCAGGAATAACCAACATGTAGTCATTGTGTAGTTCACAGGAATGCTTCCTTCTGTACCCTTGTGTATGAATAGAAAATATATTTTTAACTACTTTGGATTGGATAATGTTCAATTGAAAGTAGACTTTCAGGTGCTCTGTTAAATTACCTGTTCTAATATCAATTGAGCTGAAGCAGAAAATGATTTAAGAGTTTTCTTAATGGATTGTGATCCAGTTCCTTTCTTTTAAAAATATGGAGTTACAGAAAAGTAGGCCAGTAAAGAATCTGGCATTTATTTGTATAAACCACCAATGCATTATCCTAGTCTTCAAGTAACTTATGTCTGGGCCTTGAGTTTTTTTTTTCTCTGTTGCCCTCTAAAAATGAATTCCCACTTTCATTTACCTCTTACTCAGTTATGTTTATGGAGCAGGATTTTAATTGTCTGATCTTTAGATTCTAACTTAAAGAGGAGCCAAGGATTTTATAATGAGAGTTATGAAAGACTGAATCACTCAGTTAAGTACCTTGAGTCCAGTCATGCATGGTTCTGAAATTTGGAATTAATCCCTGAGGTATAATGTACAGTTCATGGCAGCATTCTTTTTCATGATCTCTCAGCACAAAAGTGAAACCTTGTGAGAAAAAGTATTTAAGTGAGGCCACTCATGTTGGTGCATATCTGTAATCCTAGCATTCCAGAGACTGAGGCAGGAAGATTGAAGTGAGTTTGGGGCCAGCCTGGGCTATATAGTGAGTTCAAAGCCTATCTGAACAACATTGGGAGACTGTCCCACCTCCCAAATATATAAAGATATATATTCCTAAGTGATCCCAAAAATCCTTTAGTTTTCCAAAGAAGCTTCCATTCTTTATATTATTTGAGGGTAAAAAATATGGATATTATTGAGGGTGGGGATCATGATTTCTAAAGCATTTCCTACAGAGAGGTTATTTGTGAAGACATAATGGTTTTCCAGAAGAGCTGTTGAATAGAAAGCACAGCTGACCCAAAACTACTTTTGAGTTCATTTACTTTGTTCTATGCCACCCAATTAGATGAATATCTTCATGTACTACTCATTCATGTCTCTGTTTCTCTTGCAGTTTCTACATCTGCCACACTCTGTCATTTACTACCTAGTTCAGAAATTCACTTTCCCTAGGGATATGATCCTATTATAGGTGTTTATAGGAGGTATAAATTATTGTAGGTATTAAAAATTTCTTCAAGCTATTTATATTTAGTCCATCCTTTCTGGGTTACAAATTCTGGAAGTCAACCACGTCCTGGGAAAACTAGTATTTTCAATGTTGAAATCTCATCCTCTTTATTTATTTTTTCTTTGTGAAAGTGATATTGTGCACATAAAAAATTCAGTCATAAAAAATGTATTCCTCTTAAACTTTTAAAGTGATGTCATGAGTTTTGAATCTTAGTAAGTCTATGGTTACATGATTCATATTGTTTAAATTTTGTTTGTTTGCTGGATGGTTTATGTCACAGTGGTTAAAATCATTTGCTCTGGAGTCAAATAGGGTTTGAAGGTTGGTATTTCTTTTTCTACCTCTGAGGATCTAGAGAAGTTATTTAACTTCACAGTGCCTCAGTTTCCCCATCTGTAAATTGAGGATATTAATACCACTTGTTTCAGAAGGTTGTTGTAAGAATTGAGAGAGACAAATATAAAATGTTTAGAATAGTGTGATACATAGTTAGTACTCAGTGAAGACTCAATAAATGGTTGTTATTGAATTTTTTTCTTTTTGCAAACTGAAGAGATTCCTTATACCTTTACTCTTTCCTAAAACATCAGTTGCTTGTTACTTTGATTCATTTCTCTTCTCTGGACTGGTTCAGATCTAATATCTCTTAGGTTGCATTATCACATCTACATAAAATATCCTATTGCTTGAAGTTATCATGATCATTCATTTTAAAGAGCATTTCTAATGACACTGAATATTTTATCTGCTTTTTTAGCCTATTGGATCAGTCTATTGAGGAAATAAACTCTTGAAAATTTCAACATTCTTACTGGCTTCTAACTTGTACCTGTGACCTAATCTTGGTCCTCTTTGAATATAGACATTCCCTTTACTCTTACCTGAATACTGATTCTCTTTCAGTTTATACTTGAATTGAATGTATGTACTCCAGGGGAATTTAATACCATCTGCAAACATGATATGTTCCTTGGCGCACTGTGAAAATTATTAAGGCTAAGATATGTTTCATTGGCCAATCATTTCTGCTCAAATGTGCCAGTAAAGAACTAAATGATAAGTATTGTGCCCTCAAAGTCCTTGTGAGATGTTTGGAATAACAACCTCCTGAGTCCAACACAATAATATATCAGAAGGTCTAGAAGAGAGACATTTACAGAGGACTCTAGAAGCCCTTAGGAAGAGGAGTCCCTAATTCAGCTTGAGGGCATTCTTGAAAGTCTGTTCACCTTTGATCTGAGTTTTGTCAGACAAATAGAAGTTAGTATGGCAAGAAAGGAGCTGAAGGCCTATTCAAACAGAAGGAACATGTGGGAATCCATATGGGTGGTCTAAAACCATGTGAAGCATTCAGGGAGCTACAATGAATTTAGAATGGCTGAAGTAAAATATGTTGGGGATAGAAAGAGATCAAGAGGCAGTCTGGAGCCAGGGATGGGGAACATTTGTGCCCCGCTAAGGCGGTAACACTGAAGGTAGTCAGAGCTCCCCCAGGATGTGGAGCAGTGATGTGACAGATTTGTGTTGCAGAAAGCACGTCCTCGTCAAAGGGCAGAGGAATGGCTGACATAAAGTAATGCAGAGGTCTGCACACTTTTCCAGAAAGGTCATATAGTAAATATTTCAGGCTTTGCCAGAAACCACTCCATTCTACTCTTATAGGAGAAAAACAGCCCAAATTAATAAATAAACAAATGAACAAGACTGTGTCCAATAAACCATTGCTGATGGACACTGAAATTTCAGTTTCACATGATTTTTTTTGTGCCACAAAATATTTTTTGTCAGCCCTCAATGGTGTAAAAACTGTTCCTCGCTTTAGACCATACAAAAGCAGG